GTGGAAAAACAGAAAAGAGGAGAGGGAAGAAACTCCCGATCAGCACTTGCAGGGACGTGCCCATTCTAGTACAGCTGAAGGCTGGGAAAAGACCTTTTCTCCAGGTATCCGTTCTTGCCTTTATTTCCACTGACTTTATAACATTTGCATTTTTATTTCATTTCCCCCTCAATGGTTTATTCTATTAAGGAATATGATGGAATGCCTTTCGGGCTGAGTAAGCACGCTGACTGCAGATGAAAACAAGGAATGAAAAGGGGTGAAGAGGTTAGTAAAAGACCCTGCCCGTGGGGTAAGGGACAGCGAAGAGTCGTTTATGGTAATGTTTCAGCCTCTAGGGCATACTGAGGGTGAATAGTGGAGCTTTTGTTTTCTCCTTTCTTCTATTCCTCCTGCCAAAGTAAAGTTGTAGGTCTTTTGCATAATTGGAAACATTTTTACTGTTTAGGTTTCCTCCCCCCTGCCTCCCCCCCCCCTAATTCTTGGACGTAAGGGATTGTTGTTGAACAGTTAAGCGCACAAACAGATTTCAGCAGGTTCCATTCCTGCAGCAAGGGAATTCCGATGCCAGCACAAATACATTCATCTGCATTCACAGAAGCCTATCCTTTAAAAAAGATTTGCTTTAGAGAATATTTAAACAAAATGCTTGGATCTGGTTGATCTCTTTGGGGACTGCAGGCTTGTGATGTGTGGGTGGGTGGGTTTCAGCTGTGTGAGTGGGGTTCTATTTTCTGTCTTTTTAAATGCTCTATTATTTTCATGTTCTTATTTTTTATCTGTTTTTTTTTCTCTTCTGATGCCACCCCCCTCCCCCCCAAAAGGCTGTCAGGGAAAGGTCTACCAGATCTGAGCTGCAAAAATCCAGAGGACCACTAGATGGCAACAAAAAGTGAGTATTTTCTCTTTTGGTTTTATTGCCATTTATAGTAGTGATTGGATTTTAATAGTCCTGGTCCTGGCCATAGAAGAGGCTCTATCCAAATGATGGTTCAGCATTTGAATGATGAGATGGATCAATAATTTTCCTTCAAGGCAGTAAGTTGAAATAGCATCCCAAGAGAGATTTCAGTGTTTGGAGTTTCTTCACACTCTTCTATTTGCTGCTCCATTAATTTCAATTGACAAAAAATAAGGGAGGAAAAATGCATCCTGAGAGAGGATGCAGCCTGAGGACAAGGCCCTGTCCTCATGCTCCGATCTGTTCATCCCTGCTAAAGCACATTCATCTTACCTACAGTCATTGAGTTTTGTTTGGTTTAGCCTCTGGTCCTCGTCCTGTTTACCTTCTGCAAAGTTGGTTTAGAAAGGCCTGAAAATAGTCTCTTCTGGCTCACTCCCAGAAGTAAGGCAGAAATGATCTCTCGTGGATGACAATTTCCCCAATAGCTTGACTAGGTTAGACTAGACAGGGTAGAAAAAGGTACCAGCTAAAGCAGAGGGCAGTGAGCTTTTAACCCTACGTCCCACTTCGTGAGTCCCATTAATAGGGTTACTGTAGTTGGGCTGCAAGAATCCTGATGAACCCTAGATGGCAGAAAAGCAAAATTAGTGAGCCCATAAAGAGAGGAGGTCAACAAATAATCAGAAGACTCACAGAGGTATAGTGTAGAAACTGTGAAACTGTGACTCTAGATACTAGGGTGGGCAACCTATGGCCCAAATGTGGTCCCCAGGATTCTATTGGTGATCTTGCACAATTAGTGGTAGTACACTGTAGTGTATGTGTGCATGCCTTCGAGTGAATCTTTACTCCTGGTAACTGAAGTTTTCTTGGCAAATTTCAGAAGTGGTTTGCCATTGATTTCTTCCTAGGGCTGAGAGAGAGTGATTGGCCCAAAGTCACCCAGCTGGCTTCGTGCCTAAGGTGGGACTAGAACTCCTGATCTCCCGGTTTCTAGCTTGGTGCCTCAACCACTACACCAAGCTGGCACTAGACATTGTAGTAGTAGCAGCTATATCTGAAGAAGAACCAGTTTAACTCATTTATCATGTATCTGATTTGTCAGTCACATTATTCTAGGGGTACTAAAATATGTTCCAGCAATTCTTTGGCTGTTTTGTGAAGATCATTTCAGTCTCTATGATGTGATTTTTATCAAATGGGACATTTCTTTAGGCCTAGGCGGCATGGCTTTGAAGGAAGCCTGAAAGCAGATATAAACAACAGTAATAAATTATTCAACTTATTACAGTTCTTATTTATTTGAATTTCCCAAATCATCTCATTCAAATAGAAAAGCTGTTGTGGCTAAAGATAGTATCTCCCTCTTTTCTTTTTTTTTCTGTAAAAGATGCAGACAAGCGATGCTCTGCAAACTAAAGATGCTCTGACATAAGGTTTTTATCATGAAGTCAGTCCTTTTATGAAATTATGAGGATTTTTATAAGGAGTGAGTCCATTTTGTTTTGGAATCTCTCCAGTTTTTCACCAGAAAAAAAAAAGTTTAAAAGGGATAGCTGCAGTTGATTTTTTTTTTTAAATCAGTAACACTAAGGGTCCTTTGACTAGAAATTAATATTAAAAAGAAAGAGAAGAAATGAATAAATATAGGAGAAAAGGAACAGAGGAAAAGGAATAAGAAAAAAGGAAAGGAGAGGAACAGTGCATATCTCTGTTTCTGTAACACACATACAGTAATTGTTTTAAGAATATATGGCTTTTCTTCAGGGCAATGGGAACAACAGCTCCAGGCCACATACATGGAAGAAGGAGCATCTAAAATATAGGTTTAGTGCTTGAGTGATCAGATAGATCAATGCTTACTTGTCAACTAAGGCAATACAACTGCTAAAGTAAATTAGAAATCCTAAGAAATATTCCAGTTGTACGATTTTCCCCACACTCCTGTTTGCGAAGCCATTGCTTTTACTGGTCAAGATACAATGGCTGGGGTGGGGTGGATCCCTATACTGATATAAGATACAGCGAGAAGACTCCTCTCCGATATTAATTTTAGATCCTACACTTAAGAGAAGCGATCGTCTTTCTTTTAAGTACATCGGGTGTCCTGGCCATAATGAAATCCTGGCCATAATGAAATCAAGTCAGGGTGTATATTTGCCGCTAATTTAAAGAAGGCTGCCCGCCCTCCAGACGAGCAGGTTGGGACTGTCTCTTTAAAGGTGTCGATCAGCCGTGTGTTTGGAGTTTCTTC